GAAGTTGGATGTTCTCTTTTTTTTTATTTAGTAGTATGGAGTGGAAGTTTTTTTTATATATCGCCGTTCTTTCTTATAACATTCTTCATCAGAAGACGAAGAGGAAATCGGGAGTTACAATTTAGTCGAGGTTTGAGAGATAAGATAAACAATATCGTTTTTCTTCCATGGGCATCCTCAAATGGGCTTGCGAGAAGTTTTGATGATCTACTGTGGAAGTTTTCCAATGTCGTCCTCGGGAGTTGATACCCAATGAAATCAAGTTGGATGTTTTCTTTCTTTGTTGGTGCTTTGAGGTTTATAATATAATTTTGCCTACTACGGTATAAATTTCCAAAACGGTTCCCAGTTTCACTCTGAGAAATTTTAACAAAAAACTGTGCCCATCGCATTTTCAACACTGAAAACGAAAGTGCGATACGCAAGCGACTCTAATTCTATTCTCCTTCCACTCGCACCGTCTTCTCTTTGCCCGTCTGCCACCAGGCATGGAGCACTACAATTCGGACTGTGAGCCGGAATATCTGCGCAAACGCGACCATCGCACCGAGGATGCCAGCCAAGCCAGCCAAGAGGTGACCTACGCTCAGCCGCATCAGCGAAGTGGCGCGGCAGCGGCGCAGTCGCCCCTGAAGGTGGCCACCGTCTCGGCGAGCAGCGGCGGCGCCATCAAATATCCCTCGAATGCCAACCTGGGCCTGTTCCCCAACAGCAGCAGCAGCAGCAGCACGACGCTGACTGCGGCGCCGCGCAGTACAAATCCCTTCCTGAACGGCAAGTACGCCGCTGAGGAGTCGCCTCCAGATGCTGGTGAGGGCAGCGCCAGGGGCGTGGCAGCAGCAGCAGCGAACGCCTATTTGCTGCCTGCGTCGGCGTCATCGTCGACTGCGGCGTCGAGCAGTCGCAGCCAGCGCAGCGGTGCAGCGCGCAGCACACTGAATCGATTGAGCGGCATGACGAGCTCCAGCAGCGGCACCTCGGCCCTTTCCGTCAATCGCAGCGAACGCGCCCAGACGCCACTACAACAACAACAGCAGCAGCAGCAGCAGCAGCAACAACAGCTAACGGTAAAGCAATCGCAACTGCAGCTCTCGTGCGATCTGAATGAATTTGGGGACAACAACAGCAGCGGCGAGTCGGAGCCACCGCCAGAGCCGGCGCCGCCGGAGATACCGCCGCGCACTCAGTCGCTGCTGATGTCCTTGCGCAAGCATTCCGACTACAAGCTCAAGTACGAGGAAAAGGGGGACCAAAAACACGAGGAATTCATACCGACCAGCCAGCTCCAGAAGGGTAAGTCCCAAAGTACCAAAACTTCAAGCATTTTTCCCTGCGAAAGCAAAGAAATTATTTGAAAGCTTTCATTAAGCTTTTTGCTGGACTGATTTAACAGAATGGCCTCAGCATAGACTGTTCTGACTTTGCTTAACAGGTGTGGCCTAAAAGCTCAGCGAAGCGCTGTTATGCACTCAGCTAAGTTTAACAGTCAATATACCTAATAACAGTGCTGGCTGAGTACATAACAGCGCTTGACTGAGCGCTTAGGCCAGCCCTGTTAAGCGCTGTTATGCACTCAGCTAACACTGTCATAAGTTTAACAGTCAATATATCTAATAACAGTGCTGGCTGAGTGCATAACAGCACTTGATTGAGCTTTTAGATTTTTTCGATATTTTAGTTCGCATTGAAATTGAATGAAGTTAACAGAGTTTGCTGTTATTGCTATAATTATTATTTTTTATATAATTAAATTTTTCTTGTTTTTAATTCGAAATATCTAAATTATAAAAATTCGAGTTTTTTGTAATTTGTTGTTAATCATGTTTTAAGAATGCAAATTGCTTTTTGAAATAATGTCTTTAATTTCTTACATTACTTTCGGACTTCGGACATCAGCCAGCCAAAAAAAAAAAAAAAATATTTATATATGTAAATTAATTTTATAATTAATAATAATTTATATTTCAGTTTTTATTACTTTTATTTCTATTTTTAATATATTATATATTTATTTTATTTATATTTTTTATTTAATATTAATTCCTTTCTCTTCCTCTTCTTCAGATTATATCATCAGCGATAATCTACGCACTGTGGAGCAACAATTAAAGCCAATTTCTCCAGGCGATTCCCAGGGGTAAGTTTCACTTTCGTTTATTTAACTTCACACTAATTACTCGGCTTTTAAGTAGGCTACGTATATTAGTTAGCTATTATATTTAAAATAGACATTTAACATACTCTAAGTATACAAATTTAACTTACTTATAATGAAGTCTAAGGCCAGCTAGCCGGCGTGGCCAAGCAACCGTGCAAAGCCGCGTAATGCTTCTGCATTGTATTTAAATATATTTAGCTAGCACCCACACTGTACTCTGTTTGTCTGTTAAGTCGCTGTTAAGAGTGGAAAATCTGTTTAGCTGCGATACCTGGGAATTGACATAATTCCCTCCACTGACCACAAAACTTGGCAAAAGATTTCTCTGAACTGTGAAGTGTGCGTAGCTGAGAGCAACAACGAACTTTAAATATTCTTAAAATATTAAAATATTTAAATATAGATATGTCATACAATATTGTTCGATTTACTATGTTAGCTATGATTTATATGTAATGGGAGCTTAAAGACAGAGCTTACATGAAATTTGCTCTGGGGTTACATAAGTAATGAAAGAAACTTAAGCAAAATTCGATTCAACTTTATATTATATTATTTCTTTATATTATTTCTAGACAGACTTTTTGATTTCATATGTTAAACATTTTTATTTACAGATTCTTTAATTATACCCTAAAGATATCTTACTCGGTTGGCTAACAAGATTTTCTTACTGGAGCTGAAAAACTGGGAATTTAAATAAACATTTCTAAATATATATTTTGTTATTTTTATTTTATACTATCTATTTTTTTTTTTTAATAAATTGTGCAAATCGAATTGATTTTTCTTTATTTACTGTTTTTATTTTTCTCTCTTTAGTTTTTTTTTTTTTAATATTACTAAGTAAATAATATTATTATTAATAATATTATTAATAATACTCTGTAAATGTTTTTTATTCATTTAAAATAAATAAGGTTCCTTTTGATCAGCTTGGATATAAACACTGTTCCCACTCGTGAGATTTCAGTCAGACAGTTGAGTATATTAAAATATAGATCCTCACTCATAAGCTGTGATGGATTACCGAAAAACTGTTCCCATGCTTGAAGTCTATATACAACAACTGTTCCCAGTGCGGAATTTTTGAATTGTTGCCATTCAGATAAATTATAAGACTGCAAATAGCTATTCCCAACTACAAAAAGTCAAATGGGCCTTAGACAAACTTAAGTGTACAAAACTCATTAATAAAAATGTACATAAATCTTGGACAAACTTAAATATATAAACATCTTCAGAAACTGTTCTCATGACTGTAATTATGATTCTTAAAAACTGTTCCCTCTTTTGAACTTTAAGTATGGTTGCCTTTGACATTGTGTGCCCACTGCCAACTGTTCCCAAAAACTGTTCCCAAAAACTGTTCCCAAAACTGTTCCCAAAAACTGTTCCCAATGATTTCAGAACCTATTTTCATATATCTCATTTCTCAGGCGCTCTTTTTAGACTAATTTCTTCCACTTTTTCTCAGCTCACAGTACACTCTTCAACGCATATCTATAATACTTTGTATATATAGGGTATTATCAGTATAAAAGCAAACCTCAATGCTAGGACAAAGGCGAAAGAAGTTGAAGTTCTTAGAGGGAGATGGAGCTGGAGAGAGATGAGGGAGTGTTGGGATAGATAGCTGCCAAACCGCAGTCTAGCGAATGTGACGCTCCACAACAACAACAACAACAACAACAACAACAACAAGTAAAAGAAGAAGAAGAAGAAGAAGAGGCAGCTGCAGCTGAGCTACAATAACAAAGTAAAGCGAGGCTCATGTTAACGGCAATTAAATCCGCAAATGGTTTCGCATTGGCAGCAAACGCAGCCACTTGGACGCCCACACAGACAGAGAGCGAGAGAGAGTGTGAGAGAAAGAGAGAGTCAGAGTGTGTGTGTGTTGATATGTATGTGTCTGTGCTAGCTGTTTGTATTTGTGTTTATTCGCATCTCCATTGTAATCCTTTGGGCAGCACACACACACACACACACACACACACACATAGGGAGACAGAGTGAGAGAGAGAGAGAGAGAGAGAGAGAGTGGGAGTGGGAGTGGGAGATAGAGCGCGCTGAAAAGCCGCAGCGACCCAAAAACTTCAAAATGGAGGAACGTGCAATGACGTAGCCGTAGCAGCTGCTCCTCCTGCTAGTCGAGCCACGCCTGCCACCAAGCTATTCCTTCTGCTGCTGCTGGCTGAAGATGTCCGTAGCATTTTGTGGTTTTGTAAGCGGCTTTCGCTTCGCATTTTGTTTGCGCTTCCGCACACATCGGTCACAGTGAAACAGCGGCTCCTCCACCTCCACCGCCAGCTGCTCCTGCTGCTCCTGCTGCTGCTGCTCCTGCTGCCACCTGCTGCGCCGTTTACATGTGTTGCGCTGCAAGCATAATTAAAGAACTCACTTGCAGATTACGTGGTTTTATAGGTGCCCTCCACGGCCCCAATCTCTTGAAGCATTCCGCTGCATAGGTATATCTGCTGCTGCTACTCCTGCTGCTGCTGCTGCCCCGTCTCCTGCTGCCTGTGTGTGTGTGTGTTGTCGTATCCTGTGACTCCATTCACTTACTTTGCTTACTCAAAGGCTTAACGTAAACGTTTCGCAGTTGCACAATTTTCAACGTCAATGCCGCTAATGTACGGCTAATGATTGTTTGGCCACAGGCGACGGGGCGTGGCTGTTGAGGCTGTCCAGCGCCGGGGCATAAACTATGAAGATAGAGCCAACTGGATTATGAATCTGGTTAAGCAACTCCATGTGTAAGTACATCCATTTATAGTACTTAGCGGTGTGCATGGCGATATCATGCTCCCGTCAAACTTAACTAGCAGTTCAACGTGGGCTGCCCCGACACTCCCAATACGCATTCATTAAAGTGTATGAACGTATATTGGTTTTGTGCGATGCCCGTCCAGCTCTCTGGCTCTCCGAGAATTTCAGCAATTGAGACTTGAGGCTGAAATTTGGAATTAGATTCGTAAGTTTCCTCATTTCAATGATTTTATAGAGGTTCTCCGTAACGAATGGGTAAGTCGGGAAGTACTCTTTTTGATATCATAAAAGTCTGACATGAAGAGAATTGAAATTCGATCTATATGCATATATATCGGTTTAATGAATGAGGTTCAAAAAGATAGGGATATATCTGAAAAGCTCACGGGGTGTGACCGCTAGAAACTTTAAGTTGAATATTCGATTTACTGTAGCTCTCCACCATTGATAGCCCAGAAGTAATACTTACGCCCCTTTTGAAGCCTGTCATATCAAAAATACCCTGTAATTCTCCCAGTTTTCTACCGTAAGATCCAAAACTTTCTAGATACGTTACCCTAAACTCCTTTTAGAGGCGGACTTTATCTTACTTAAATGCTTATAAGTTAGTTTATTCTGAATTTAAGTAGAGGAAATTCAAGTAATGCCCGATAAGCATATCATCATCAATGTCATTAGGAAAGAAGCTACCCTGAATAAATCTATATTTGCTGTCCATTTATAGCAATATAGGCAATGCCTAAACTGGTCTGACCTTAGTGGATCAAAAGATATCTCTCTCTCGGAACTAGTTCAATTGCATGTGAGGGTAAATACAAGTACGCCAAGTCAACGAGCGGCCTCTGAATGTCGATAAATGTCTGGTCAATGAAGACTCTATAAATCAAAAGATATGTGAGCAACATATAAGACGATTTCTGCCCGGAACTAGTTCAATTGAGTGTTTAGCCAAATCTAAGGCAACAGAGTCAATGAACTATTCCAGAATGCTGGGGAATGTCTGGTCAGGGCAGAGCTATCAACTTGAATCGTTGCAGGTGCCACAGCTGAACGTCAGCCAAGCAGGGGTCGGTGGGCTTTGGGCAGGATGTGTTAAGGACATGCCTAAGATTTCGATTGACAGCGCTGCTAAAACTGAGCACACAGCTTCAACTCAGTTGCTGTCGCTGTTGTTGTTGTTGCTTATCCTGCCGGCCGTGTCGTTGACAGTCGTCAGGCGCAGCTACTTAGATGGACATAAAATTATGATTACAGCAAAATACCACATGTCACATGATATGAAGCACAATCATAGCCAAAGAGATAGATATATGTACACATACATATACATATATATATACCTCTCTGTATGCTATATACATACATATACAATATTCGCTAGTCGGAAATGGGCAAACGGCGCTAAAACCCAACCGCATGCAGTCAATAACCGAGCCTCAGACTAACGACTAACGACCATCGTCATGGATTACGCCAAAAGGAACATAGAAGAGACACAAGGACAGGACACGCTCGACTAACAGTTATGCTGGAGTGCAGAGGCTGCGCTAGATACAGTCAGAAAATGAAATATTTTGGGATAAAAGTATGAAAATTAGGTGGATTTCTATCAAGGATATGTGTTTAGTATATTAAAAAGAGAGAGAGAGAGGGGGAGAAAGATACAGAGACAGAGAGAGAATGATAAGAGATCATACATAAGAAATCGGCTGTCTCTAACTCCAGCAATCATCGAGTTCACATAGATAGTTGAGTGTGATTAGAGCGCTTTTCATATATCCTATATATGTAAATGGCATATTACAATGTTTTATACATATTATAGTAAAAACAATATACACATACCCAACTATATGTTTCTAGCTCTGATATCTGTAGAGTTCACTTGGATAGTTGAGTATTGAACCAAGGAGTTCACTTGGATCATTGACTCTACTAAGTTAACTTTTCGTGAAAGAAAAGTTCTCATATATCGAGACATAATTTGTCATACCGGATATGAGCTTATGTAGGTATTATCTATGAAGTATTTCATATATGGATAGATTTTTGGCTTAATGTATGCCTACATCTATATCCAGATAGAGATAGGTAGAGAAATATAGAGACTTTCTCTTTCTGCAAATAGAGAACCTTACATGATTCATCTACCTATGCCTATACCTAAGTCTACATGGAGATATATATGTAGAGATATATAGAGACTTTCTCTCTACATATAGATAGCCTTACTTGAGGCATATCTCCATGCCTATATCTCTATCTATATATCAACATAGAGATAAACTGAAGTAAGGCCTGTTTAAATTTGATAAACAAACTCAACATAGATAACACAGAAAGTTTTCTGATGCTAAGCTACCCGCTCAGCTGCTTTGACTCCGTCTACAGGGTATTTAAAGTATAACAAAAATGAAAGAGCGCAAAAGATACGTAAAGTAATTCATTACAATAAGCTCACGAATATGCCATAAAAATCGCGTGCGCTCGCCTTCAAAAAGGACATTCACAGTGGTCGAGAGAGAGAGAGAGAGAGAAAGGGAGAGAGACGGGTAGAGTGTGAGCGAGACAGCATATGGAACGTGTAGAGATAGAGAAGCATCTGTGTTGGAAAGCGATGTCGTTGTTGGTGGCATATCCAATTGCCACAAGACGAGGTCACGATGATACGAAACCAGCTCACTCAATGGCTCTTAATACACTACGACTGCCGGCTGGCCAGACGGGGATGAGACAGACAGACAGACACAGAGAGAGAGAGAGAGGGAGAGAGAAGCACATAGTAAGAGTTGGTTGCATATGTAACTCTAAGTACGAATACTTATGTATCTAACTATATTACATTTCTATGAACATGTCAGCATTGCTTTTCGCGTTAGTTTTTTCCCCAG